ACACGCGCGTCACCCTCGTCGTCCGTCGCGGCGCCCCGGGGACTGTCGCGCCATCCCCCGTCGCCTGTCGCGGCGCACCCGGGGACCCGCGCGCCGCCCCTTGACCCCGTGCGCCGCGGGGATGTTTCCTCCCTCCCCACTCCCCTTTCTCCTTCCTCTCCCTCCTGCGCGTTCAGCTATGGGGGTGGCGGGTGTGTGAGCCGTCCCCTGCTCCTCCTCCTCCTCCGTCTCCCACTGCTACAGCTGCCGCTGAGGGGGGTGGATGTGTGGGAGCCGAGGGAGTGGCGCTAGGTGTTGTGGGAGTGGAGCTAGAAGTGCATAGGGGGGTGTGTAAAAGGGGGTCTACGATAGTGGGGGAGGTTGAACGGAGGTAGCCGTTGTGGAGCCCGGAGCGCCAATAGTCCGGATGCCCTTGTTCCGGTAGCCAGCGAGCCCGTTGCGCCAGTCGCCCGTGGGTCCGTTGCTCCAGCCGCTCGTCTTAGCCGCGGGACCAGTTACTCCAATAGTCTGGGGCCCTTGCTCTATAGCCCGAGTGCCAGTTGCTCCAGTAACCCGTGTGCCAGCAGCTTCAGCCGCCGCCTCCAATCTCCTCTCCTCTCACAGTCCCTCCTCCTCCTCACGACTCCTCTATGTCTCCGACTAGCTTTGCTTGTGCTTGTGAACTTATTATGTGACTGATGCTGTGCTGATTATACCCCACTTTGCCTATGGGGGTGTGTCAAAATGTGATATTTGTCTAGTCTGCAGTGGGGTACTCTATAGTGAGTACATCTCGGTTAGGGTTTGCTATTTGCATCCCACCTGCCTGCTAGTGCAACCTCTCTTCTTCCATTTCTCCTTCCTAAATCCTAAGCCCTAAATTGGCTTAGTCTTCTGACAATTTGCATGTACTATTTTCCTTGTATATTCTCTATCCGTCGTATCTGGGCAACGTCATTCCTCGTTGTGCACACTCGCAGACGGGCATTCCACCGTACCCGACGGTGGGCCCAGTTGTCGGCGCAGTGACGTCTGTGCTTCGAGATGAGCCCCTACATTCGCTAGACGAGCATTCAATTGAGGGTGGATGTCATAATATGTTATTCCTATATAATTGCATGCCTAGCTAATAGTGGAGTATCACCCTATCTTGTCGTTAGGTGGTCTATCTCCCTTCACTACCTCCCCTTTCCTATAACTTGTACTCCCAATGTTTTTGCAACCTTCTTCTCTTGGCCAACTCTCTCTTTTTAAACCCTAGCCTCCTACGCTACTATCTTGACATTCAACTTCAAATTTTATGCAATCGGGGAACATTCCTTTGAGGACACAAGTGTCTCATGTCATAAAACCTACGTATCGGGGAACATTCCTTTGCAGACGTGAGGCTTTTGTGACGCTCTTTAGGAATGTTCCCTCACTTACACATTCTCTTACTTCAGACCCCGGTTTGAATCGACCATGTTGAAGTTTCCTACAACAAACTTGAAAATAATCGAAGAAGTGCTCATTTTTTGGGGAGTAAAAAGGCTTCTTGCTAGGTGAACATGGATATTCATTATGCAGATACAGTAGGATGTTAATAGTTATTGGGACTCTAAAAAACTAGTAATAAATTAATTAATGTGTTGGTTTGATAAGTCACCTGAGGGTAAGTTACTGGAGGGGGGGGGGGAGGGAGGGGGATGGGGGGGAAGAATAGTGTGTGTGTTACATACATGGGTGTAGACACAACAACGATTGCCGCTTGCGCATTGATATATTATGTCATATGCAGACAAACAAAGTATAGATAGGCAACGGAACAATTGAGGGAACATTCATATGGGGACACGAGTGTCTCAATCCCACCATTAAACCCACGTATCATTCTGCACCGCATTACACATAAGAATCAAACATTTACACCACAATATGTATAGTCGTTTAAGATGCGAGACTTTTGTGACGCGCTTCAGGAATGTACCCTAATTTGGATAAAGTGGGGATGGTGAAATCGAGTGATGGCACAACAAGATGGTAGGAAACCAAAGTATGTCAAGCACCTAACACTGGGGACACCACTGCGTCAAGCGTCGAGGAAGTGCTGCTACACCCCTGCATGTCCAACAAGTAGGGCGCATCCGCCAGTGGAGCATCCCATCCGACGTCTCCCTCTCGGCCCAAACATCCTCCCTTATCATGGACGACGCATGCAAGAGGATAACACATGCCAATGGTGGAGGTTGACACCAAATGAATGGGAGAACAACTACCCGTACATTTTAAAAGGGTTAAGTTATGCATATAGAGAACGTACCCGTTACAGGACCCCGAACATGATCTTCCGAAAGTTCTGGATCTAAGTCCTCCTTCTGACTCAGCACTTCTTGCTGACCAACTTTACGCCACGTGGATTCTGGCTATCATGGCTCTCTACCATACTACCCAAAACGACTACTGTATCTGAAGGACCAATAAAAACAACAAGTTACATGACCACGTAATTGTAGCAGTCCGTGTACACGTCACACGTCCGCATTGGAGAATCAAGTCAGGCCAGACCGTTGCATACTTGTCACGTGTCACACCATGATTCTGGCACGCTTCTCTCTGGGTTGCGTGGCTGACTTTAATACCAAGAAGCTCTAACTCCTACACTTGAGTAGTGTGCATTAGTAGGCAGTGTGTTATCCCGTATTTCCTGAACGACTTTTTTTTCCCCGACCCAAACATGATAAAAAGGCACAAGGCAGCGAAAGGCCAGACCGAAACGTGTGCTCCGAGCCACCTGTAATTTTCCAGAAGAACTGCACCAATTAACTTCGAGTGCACTGACGCGACGACGCCAACGTTGCGTATGGTCGTTGTGTTGAAGCCTGATTCGGGCAGGATTTACCTTCTGTTGCTTCTGATTGGCAGGGAACGTCCGCAAGCAGCCGAATTGTGTACTTTGTTGACTCGTGTGCGATTACCTTTGCGAACCCGCGATGTGCGACGACGACGACTACGACGTTTGGAACAGTCAGTTTGTCCATTTCAATTGTTTTGGTCCACGCAGCCGCTCTGCACAGTGCCCATGTGTAAGAAGGTTCGGCATCTGTTTATGAGGTTTCGAAGTTTACAGGGCTGTCGCGTCTGGCAGCTTTCATTTCAACTATTTTCAGCATGTGTGACGTTTCGTTAGTGGGACACCCATTCTTAAAATAGTCACCATTTCATCCATGCGCCCTTCCATTCCCGATGACGATGTGCTTGCTCTTCAACTATTTTTTTACCACAATGTTCTCAGACTAGAACGACCAGAAAAATATAGTTAACAACTTCTTTCACACTGGGTGCTTCAGGGTAACAGTATTTTTCATTGTGACTGCGGTTCGCAGACAGGTTTGGTAGCCTCGTATGGCGCAGTCAGCCAAGGCGATCCATGGCCGACAATTCGCCAACCCAGCGGATGACCACCACTCTCGTTACTGTACACTGTGTACGAGCCCGCCACGTACAGATGGGCGACGCTGCACCATTGCGAGCCAGTCACGCGAACATATAGCGCCCGCTCCAGATGCGTTTGACTGCCTTTCCGAGCTGAAGTTCCCCAGGCATGGTAGGGCAGTTTTTTCTGTACCGATTATGCTTTCAATAGGACTCCCTATACGTAAAAAGACTAATCTATCACACCCAGTGAAGCTGCTATGCGTCAACGTTGCAATACAGCCTCTATAAACCAGTGTATTTGTAGTACTCTTTCGGTGTCCGTATAACAATCTGGAAACGCATCTGATTTGACAGAACTTTGGGTAGTTGCCCTCGGGTAGCCTACCACTGGTGTAGTAAAATTACGACGCGAAGCGGCCCAGACGCGGGCAAGGGCAGAGGCTGTCCCTGGGCTTGACGATCATTGATCGACACTGTGCGATGAGCAAGACAGGCTTGGTTTGAACAAACCTGGCTCGATATAGGTTGGGAAAAGCAGAGTTTTTTTCGGTTGCGCCACTCGTCGCCGCCGCCAAATGATACAGCATCTTGGAATTCCCTAGAGTCGTATCGCGTCGCACCTTTCGCATCGTGACGGCACGGGGGCCTGTGTGTGCACACAGAGGATTTTGCTTGCCCTCTCCCTCCCCCACCACACTCCTTCCCCACCTCCCCTTCCCCCCCTGTCCAGCAGCTGCACAGTCAGGGGGAATGGCAGGGTCACAAGGGCACAGGCCTCCGTCCAACCCTGCTCCCTTCCTCCCTCCCCAGGACCCCCCTCACCGCCGCCACCCACGCTTCCTACTCCTGCGACAGCAAATTCTGCTGGTTCTGTTTCCTGCCAGCCCTGCTTTCCCTTGCAACGCCCGCGCCACCAAGCCATGAGATGAGATGGGACAGCAGCTAGTCCCATTTCTTGCACAAGACCCGAACCCCCTCGGCGCCCCAGTTTCCTCGCGGTTGCTACGCTCCGCAACCTCCCCCGACCCTCTGTCCCACCGCTTACAATCCCCACCCCCATCTTCCTGTCACTCGTGCTGCCAGTTTCAGAATTCACATGCATCTTTTCCTTACCTCTCTAGAAGACCCATAACTGCTCCTCCCTTGTACGACAATATTCGTCCCTCTGGGTATACCAGTGCTCTTTTTTATAAGCTGTCCGATGTCCTGTGCGTAAGCGTAGGCTTCCACTGTTGGTTACCCCATTTCCTAGTATTGGTTGCGACTAACCAGCTTCTTATAGGCTTCACCATCTACACTTTGTCCACCTACCCCTATTCCAGTTCGATAATCACCAAAACTCCGACGTGACTCGTGCTGGCCTTTAAGGCTCGGAACCTGGTACTTACATCTCGTTCTTTTGGAACTTGGCACCCGTAATCTCCGGTTCTTGCAATCAAGCCATGAGAACAGGCTCTGAAAGCGTCGAAGCAGACCAGTCCCCGTCCTCTGTGCATTCCAGCTTCTTAGCGCCCGACGAGCAGGCGCTCCGTTTCAGCCCACCCAATTCCTTGACCAACTCCTCCTCCTCTTCTTCCGTCCTCACCACACCCTTCTCTTCCCCGCCCATGCCTGCTAAGGACTCTCCGAGTCCGCACACGGTAATTAATGTCCTCGGCCCGTCAGGCACTGACCCTTTGAAGTCCTTGTCTCTTGCCAACTACTCCCAGAATGTCCTCTCCTTCCACCATATCGCGTACACCGTTCGCCGCCGCGGGTCCAGCGCGTTTTCGCGGCGCTCTCGCCCCAGCGTGGAGTCGAATTCGTCCAAGACCGCCTCCGCCGCGTTTGGGGAGCGCCTCGACGCTGCGGAGAACGGAAAGTCGACGCAGGCTTATCGCTGCATTCTCAACGACATATCGGGCTTCGCACGGTCCAGCGAGGTGACCGCAATCGTCGGGCCGTCGGGCTCGGGGAAGACGACGCTGCTCGACGTTCTTGCGCACCGCATCGCCGCCGCTGCCGCCACCGCCGGCTCCAGTGGCGCGCAGCAGACTTCTCCTTGCGCCGGTGCCGCCACCGCCGCCGCCGCCGGAGGCGGGCGGACAGGGCACATCGAGCTTGACGGCGTGCCGATGACGAGTAATATGATGCGGCGCGTGTCGGCGTACGTGATGCAGGACGATCTGATGCATCCGACGCTCACGGCGCGCGAGACGCTGATGTTTTCGGCGGAAATGAATCTACCAAGTAGGATGTTCTCGCGCCGGGAGAAAGAGGCGCGCGTGGAGCGACTCCTCGAAATCCTCGGGCTGTCGCACGTCGCCAACACCATCATCGGCGACGAAAACAGAAGGTAGTATGCGACGCGTTGGGAGTCGGGGAAGCGGTTGGTGTGCATTCGGTGCGGTGAGCCGGGAGAGGATATGCTGAGTGGCAACGATTATTTTTCAGTTCTTGACGGGATTGCGGGCTTGTTTCGCTGTCGAATGTCGCGAATTTGTGTGGGCGTTCTGTGCCTTCATTGTTGCCGGTCGTTTGATAGAGAACGGAGGGAAGGGCGCAAAATCCTTCGTTTCGTGCAATTCGGCAGCGACTGCCTTCCCTGGTCGTTAGGGAAAGGTCTGCTGCCAACAAGAGGTGGGAATGTGCGCGAGACGGGGAATTGTCTCCATGCTAATGCGCAAAATTATCCTTCAAGTTTGCTGACTTGGCACACATGTGCACGACCGTTTTCCATTTCCATACCTTACCCCCTCCGTGCACGTGCAACTTTCTCGCGTTTCTTCCGTTCCTTCAGTGAGAGATATTCATCTTCCCCCCTCCACTCCCTCGCACTGTCTCTCTCCCCACTCATCTCTCCTGCCCTCGAACGCGCTTCTCATGCCCTGCGCCATCCCCCCCCCCCGCTCGTACCCTTCCCCCCTCCCCCCTTCCCCTTCCCCTTCCCCATTCCAGAGGCGTGTCCGGCGGCGAGCGCAAGCGCGTGGCTATCGGCGCGCACATCGTGCACGACCCGAAGATCCTATTCCTTGACGAGCCCACGTCCGGCCTCGACTCCACGAACGCGTGCCGCGTCGTCAACATCTTGCACGACATCGCCGTGCAGTCGCACAGCATCGTCGTCATGGTGCTGCACCAGCCGTCGTTTCGCATCCTCGAGCTCGTCGACCGCATCATGCTGCTCTCTGCGGGCAACGCCGTGTTCTTCGGCCCGCCGCGCCGCATGCCCGCGTTCTTCGCGGAGTTTGGGCGGCCCGTGCCGCAATTCGCGAATCCGACGGAGTACGCGCTCGAGCTGATCGACAGGCTCCGCGCGACGCCGACGGGATTGGAGGAGCTCCACGCGTTCGCGCAGGAGTGGCTTCGCGGAAAGTGTCTTGCTATCGCAGAGGCTAACGAGGATGTCGCCTTGGGGGCGGGGTCTGACGGCGCGGAGCGCGCGTGCGATGGCTCGAAGAACGACGAAGCTTGCGAAAGCGGCGACACTCGCGAGAGCAGCGGGAGTAACGACAGCAACTCTGCGTTACTTTCAGCTGCCACAGCAGACACGGCGACGAGCCGCGCGGTGCCGCCGCGACCTCCGGCAGCGGCAATACCAGAGGAAGTCTTGGCGATCGATAGCGACGCCAGTGGCGATACCGACGGATCGGCTCCGGATAAACCGGTAGCGGCGGATGCGGATGCCGCGCCTCCGTCAAAGGCGTCGTCGAGGGTTGTTTCCGCGCCGCCGTCCCGCTGGACGTCGGTTTTCAAGACGGAGCGTAGGCAGAGGCAGGAGGAGCAATTAAAGAAAAAGCAGCAGCAGTGCGTGGTAGAGAGTAATTACAAGGGAACGAGGCGGTATGCGAATAGCTGGCTGCGCGAGCTTTGGATCTTGCTCCGCCGCGCCGCGCTGATTATCATGCGCAACCCCGCGCTGTACGGCTTGCGCCTGGGGCTGCTCACTGTCGCGGGTCTGCTGCTCTCGTCGCTCTTCTGGCAACCGCCGCACACGTAAGCGGAAAGCTGGCGATTCGACGCGAGCGAGGGGGTGTTTGATTTTTAGGTTAGGTCACATGGGTGATCCGCGCGAACTCGATTTCGCTTACTTGCCGCGTTTTTTAAACAACGGTGTTGTCGCGCTTTTTCCACGCTTTCCGCCTCGGTTCAGTTTTATCGTCGCGCTTCCGGTGCTCCGCATGCCAATCTCCTTTTGCTCACCCTCCCCCCTCTCTCCGCTTCCGCCTCCCACTTCCCCCCTCCCGGAGCGACACTTTCAGCTTCTCTTTTCACTAAACGCTTTTCTGTTTCCCTTCCCGCCCTCTTCCCCTTCCCTCGTCCCCAACATCAGGCCCAAGGGTTTGTGGGAGCGGTTGGCGTACCTGTCATTTATTGTGGCTGTGCTGTTCTTCTGCTCCGCTGATGCCACCCCCATCTTCATTGAGGTGCGTCCACAGCCCACAACTCTACATGCATATATACATGTGCACGCACACACATGTACTCCTCTACAACCCATTGTGCATGCCATGCCTGATTCTCTACCTGCTCCACCTACCTACCCACCTACTGCCCTACTTGGGTGGGATTATCTCATCTCGCATGCTCACTCACACTTGACCTGCAGCAGCTTCCAAACTCCATATCCCCGGTAACAACTGCAATTCTTACTCCCTCTTTTCCCTCCCCCACATCCCCTTGACCCCCCACCCCACCCCCCTTTCATCCCGAACCCTCCGTCCCGCTGCCTGCAGGACCGGCACATATTTATCCGCGAGACGTCGCACAATGGCGCACGCGCTCGTGTACATGCCGCTGCAGATCCTCATGGCGCTCGTCATCATGCTCGAGTCCTGGTGGTGCTGCTCCAATCAACTCGAAACTCAACCAACCTCTCCTCCTCCCTCCTGCGTCTCCTCTCGCTTTCCCCCTTGCTCCCCCTTTCTCTCTTCCCGCCTCTTCTCCACTCTCCCCCCCTCCCCCCCGGGACCTCCCCCACAGGACCGGCACATATTTATTCGCGAGACGTCGCACAACACGTACCGCACGTCGACATACGTGGTGGCGCACGCGCTCGTGTACATGCCGCTGCAGATCCTCATGGCGCTCGTCATCACGCTCGAGTCCTGGTGGTGCGTCGGCCTCTCGGGTGGCGCCAGCGGGTTCTTCTTCATGGCGCTGCTCTGCTTCCTCTGCCTCTTCACTGGGAACGCCATCTCTACTTTCTGCAGCGCCTTCTTTAGCAGGTCAGTGCCAATTGATCGTGTGATAGGATTCTTGAAAATGTAGCGCCAGCGGTTTTTTCTTCATGGCGCTCCCGTGCTTCCTCTACCTCTTCGTCAGCAACGCCATTGCCACCTTCCGCAGTGCCTTCTTCAGCAGGCCAGTGACGGTTGCTGTGGAGTCGAGGATTTAGGACTCTGTGTCGCGTGGGTGGGGTTGTTGTTGCCCCCGAGGGCATCAATGTATTATGTAGGTATAGGCTGGTGGCATACTTATCTACTCGTGTATTAGCTACCCAATTCCTCTCACGGCAGGCAGCGCACACGCATCTTACCTCTCTGGCTGCTCGGAACTAGGTCTCTCTCCTTACCACAATTGAGTCAACAGATTTTGCCAAAAGAGGAATAAAATAAAAATTTGGAAGGTGTTTTCTCCTCACTCACCCAATCTCCTATCTTCCCCACCCCCTCTCCTCCCCCCTCCCATTCCCCACTCCCCCAACTCCCCGCTCCCTACCGTCGCGCAGCATCATCCTGGCGTACGCGGTGGTGATCAGCAGCATGGCGTATTTCACCATCATCAGCGGCTTCTACATCCCGCGCACCTCCATCCCGCCCTTCTGGATCTGGCTGCACTACCTCTCGCCCATCAAATACGCATATGAGGCCATGGTGCTCAACGAGTTTAATAGGTATGCCTCCATGTATTCTTATACATGGACTCATGCTCTGATCGCTGATTCGTAGCCCCCTTCCCACCCCCCACCCCTCCCCACCACCTCCTCCCCTCTCCCTCTCCCTTCTCCTGTTTTTTTCACCCGCAAGTTTGAACCAAACTTCAGCACCGCCACCACCGCCACCTCTTCCCACTGCTGTCCCTCTAAACAAGGCGACGGTAGGAAATCGTCTTTCAGCGACCTCATCATGCCCACGCCCTCCCCCGTCTCCCTCTCCCTCCCTCCCCCTTCCCCACGCTTCCAGGGAGGACACGGCGTGCTACTTCCGGCTGAACCAGATGGAGAACGTGGCAGCGATCCGCTCCTACGTCAACGTCACGCGCGCCGAGGCCGCCCTAGATGTCTTCCTGCCGGGAGTCCTCATGCCGGGCGTGCGCATCACAGAGGACAGCTGCCTGCTGCACGGCGAGCGCATCTACAGCGACCTGCTGGACATCTCCCAGCTCACCAAGTGGCAGTGCCTCGCCGTGCTGTTCAGCATGGCGCTGGCGGTCCGGTTTGCGTATTTCTGCGTGCTCGTCGGGATTTACAAGTCCAAGAGGAAGTAGGCGGATGGGGATTGGGTTGAGGGGGTGGTGGAGGGAGGGGAGGAGGAGCGGAGAGGGAGTGGAGAGGGGATGGAGAGGAGAGGGAGCGGAGGGGGAGGGGAGGAGTTCCGGCAAGAGCGCGGCTTAGGAAGATTTTTCTTGGGGGCGCATTTGAACCCGCGGCATTCTGAGTTGCTCGCCTTGTTTCAAGGAAGAGGGAGGGCAGGGGTACCCCTGTAGTGGGACATGCAGTGAAGTGGCAAGCTGGCTGGGCAGCAGCAGTGGATCCACACAGGGTCGAAGCCGAAGGACAGGAGGAGAATGTGGAGCCTGTGGAGTGGCAATCGACCATGGCATGGCATGGCAGGGCATGGCATGGCAGGGCAGGGCAGGGCAGGGCAGGAGGTGTGTTGCTGAGGTGGAAGAAAGGCTGCTCTGGGAAGCGTGGGTCTGATATATTCTGCAGAAGCTGAGGCTGCATCACTGACGCTTTAGTTCCTCTTTTAGTTGCAACCCATCCCTCATCCCTCCCTCCTCCCTCCCTCCTTCCTCCCTCCTCCTTCCTCCTCGCTCTTCCCTCCTTCCTCCTTGCTCCTTCTTTCCCCTCTTTTTCTACTCTACCTACATCTCCTGGGCTCTCTTCTCTCTCCTTGAGCAGTCTTTGCGTCTGCTCCACCCCCCATCCACCACCCTGCACTGTGTACTATGCTCGCTCACCTACCATAAACTGCACTGTGCACCGATCGTGTACAGTGTATTGTGGCTAAGCAGGGCATGGGTTGAAAATGAAGACACCTCCAGTGACCGGCTGTTGTGCTTTAGCAATTTCTAGAAGGGTCTAGTAGGTTGCCTATGGCTCTCTGTCTGGTCAAAAAGAGAAAACTGTCTGTCTATTGACTCTATTTTCTCTACCATCTCTTCTATACTTGCTCACCTGGCGCGGTGCCTGCACCCCCACTGTCTGCCTGTCAATGCTCCTCCATTGCTTCTTGGATGAGTGATTCAAGGGCATTGGCTTGGCAAGCACAGCATATCAAATAAAGATGCAAGGGTATCTGTCCAGTCCAATGCCCATGAGTCCACCAGCCACGCAGCGTTCCTCACCCGTCCCAGCTTACGTACAGCTCCCTTTTTCCAGGAAAAGCTCCACCCCTGCTTGCCTCCCCCCCTTCACACATTTACACTCACTCGCTCCCCCCCTCCCTCACATATTCCAGCTGGAACTTGGTCACTGGTATTAAAAGATAAAGCTTATGTGATTCTGGTACTGTGCTGCTGTTCCAGTGACTAGATATTGCCAGGAAGCATGTATTCTGATAACTGGGTACAACACAATATCAAGGTATAAAAGTACTGTTCGGAAGTTATATTACATAACTTATTTTGCTTGATGTAATGGACGTCACGGCTTTCGATGCCACGTGCCAATCGGCAAGCGAAATGGAGAGTCGGACTGTGTGGTTGAAACCACGTGACAGATACGACACGGCACGGAGAGACGTTGAAAAGCGGGGCACGCCGCGCACCGCACAGCACAGCGCAAGCGACCAGTGACAGAGCAGAGCAGAGCAATGCCATGCCATAGAGCCAGCGTGACACGACGAAGCATGAAGAAACTTTCTCAATTGACCGAAGTTGCTTCCACTGGCTGATTTGGCAGGCAGGTTTTGCTGGGGGCTGCTGCTGATTGTGCTGGTGAGCACGACTAGCTGGTTCGAGCAAGGGTCATTTTGAAATCAAGAATACCATCGTTGCGTGTGTGTTTTGGTAACCAAAGCAGCGTGTCAATCATGGTGTCTTGCACGAGGTCGAGGCTCGTGCGAGGTCTAGGGTCGTGCACTTTGAGTACTTCTTTAGGCAAGTCGCGCTTTGAGTCGACTGAAATTCATGTATAAATTAATAGGCAAGTCGTGCGTGGAGCTCTAAGGAGCCGTCGAAAAAAAGTACTTCGCGGGAAAACAAAAAACTTACGACGCTAGAGAATTCATTTTGCTCTTGTTTTTTTTTTTTATCCACGGGGTTCGCGCGAGCAGTCAGAAAGTAGAGACCGCAGCGTTCGTGCGTGTAACTCGCTGCTGCTGCTGCTGCTGCTGCTGCTACTGCTACTGCTACTGCTGCTGCTGCATTTGTTATCTCGCCACCTTCACGACACATAGACATCGTTACGTTCCTCCCACCTCCTCCGTCCAGCTCGCTTGTTCCCTTGCCAACCTTCTGAGACTCAATTTTTTCCGAAGCCGCGCGGCTGTAGCGGGTGCAATTTCTGCTCCACCTATCATCTGTCGCGGCGTCTGCATCTGTAGCCGTGGCTGTGATGGGGTGCGTGCAAGGCAAGCAAGCCAAGCAAGTCAACGAAGTCAACCGAACCAATAAAGCCACCACCAAAGGCGGCCATTGCAAGACGGCGGGCAAGCACCCACCTCAGGTGGACACGGGCCAACGAAACAGCTTCACACCAGTTTCAGGTGAGAACAGCAGCAGCAGCAGCAGCAGCGGCAGCGGCGGCGGCGGCGGCGGCAGCGGTAGCAGCAGCTGCTGTGTAGGCAGCGGCTGCAGCTCCACTCCATGCTGTCACCCTCTAGCAATTCTGGTCGTGTCCCTACCTTTTGGTTGTGTCCCTGCCCCCTTGCATGCATTCCCCTCACAATCAGCACTTCCTCTCCTACTCTGCACCACTTCCTTCTCTTCTTTCCTCTTCTCTTCACTTCCTTCTCTTCTCTTCACTTTCTTCTCTACTTTTCACTTCTATCCTCGTTTCTTCCCTTTTCATCTCTTCTCCTCTCCCTGTACGTTTTCTCCACTCTACTCTACTCCGCACCTCTCTACTCTCTTAACTTTTGATCTTCTCCATCCTCTCAATTCTCTCCATTCCTTCCCCCTCCCTTTCCTCCCCCTTTCTCATCACCAACACCACCACCACCACCAACAGGCTCCACACGCTTCGTCTCATCCCTCCCCTCTATTGCCTCTCGAGTCCCCTCAAGAATCCCCTCTTCCCCCCTCTCTTCCGCTTCCTCCCACCCATCACCACCACCACATTCATCACCACCACCAGGAGGGTCCACCCATTCCGCTTCGTCCACCACCTCTGTTGCTTCGGCAGCCACCCCACCGCAAGTGTTTTGAGTCAACTCAAAACACTCCCCCCTCTCTTCCACTTCCTCCCACGCACTACCACCACATTCATCACCACCACCAGGAGGGTCCACCCATTCCGCTTCGTCCACCGCCTCTGTTGCCTCGGCAGCCACCCCACCGCAAGTGCACGGGTGCCGGCGCTTCTCCCTGCAAGACCTCGCACACGCCACGGGCGGGTGGGCAGCACACAGCCTCATAGGCTCAGGGCGCAGCGGGGACACGTACAGAGGAGTGCAGCCAGTGCAGCCGGTGCAGCCGGTGCAGCTGGTGCAGCTGGGGGGAGATGGGGGAAACGCGGGCGATGCGGCCGTGGTGTGGGCTGTGAAACGTGCGCGAGTGGGGCGGGTGCGAGCAGAAGATTTTCAGAAAGAGGTGTGTGATGCTACCGTTACGCATGTGGCATACCTGCGTTTCCACTTGCGCGCTGCATTGGGATGCATCCTGCCTGCACTACCAAGCAACACGTGATTATGCACCACTAATCTCTGGAGCTGATATGACCATCCTAGCACCCCGTCCCAGCAAAGCAGCCAGCTGCACTGCTCCTACTCTCCCCGCTCCACTCCACACTAACGTGCCTACTTCTCTCATTGCCCTCCCTGTTTCCACTCGTCGTGACTTTCGAGTCGACTAAAAAAAGTAGCCTCTTCCCGCTCCAACGTGCCTACTTCTCTCATTGCCCTCCCTGTTTCCAATCCTTCATCCCTTTCCCGACCTAGCGTCTCTCAACCCTTTCCTGACCACATTCACCCCTCCCCCCCTGCCCCCTCCTATTCCCTCCTCTGTCTTTCTCAAAACTCCTCCCTCCCACTTCCCCCTGCCTGTTCCCCCCCCTCTCAGGTGAAGCAGATTGCTTCAAAGCACCACGTGCATCTGGTGCGCCTGGTGGGGTCCTGTGCGGAGGAGGACGCGGTGACAGGGACGAGGGAGCACGTTCTGGTGTATGAGTTCATGCCCAACGGCAACCTCTCTCGCTGGATAGGCCCATGTGAGACGCATGTGCGTGTGGGGGTGTGTGCGCGTGTGGGTACACCCGGGTGCGCATGTGAGTGGGTGTGCGGGTGCCTCTGTGTGCATGTGTGTCTGACTGCGTGCGTGTGAGTGCGTGGGTGGATGGGTGGGTTCTTGTGCGGAGGAGGACGCGGTGACAGGGGCGAGGGAGCACATTCTGGTCTATGAGTTCATGCCCAACGGCAACCTCTCTCGCTGGATAGGCCCATGTGAGACGCATGTTCGTGTGGGGGTGTGTGCGCGTGTGGGTGTGTGTGTGGGTGCGTGTGGGTACACCCGGGTGCGCATGTGAGTGGGTGTGCGGGTGCCTCTGTGTGCATGTGTGTCTGACTGCGTGCGTGTGAGTGCGTGGGTGGATGGGTGGGTTCTTGTGCGGAGGAGGACGCGGTGACAGGGGTGAGGGAGCACATTCTGGTCTATGAGTTCATGCCCAACGGCAACCTCTCTCGCTGGATAGGCCCATGTGAGACGCATGTGCGTGCGCATGCGTGTGTGTTTGTGTGTGTGAGTGTGCATGTGCGTGTGTGTGCGCGCGCGCGCCCGCGTGCGTGCGTGTGTGTGTGTGGGTGTGGGTGTGTGTGTGTGGGTGGGTGGGTGGGTGGGTGGGTGTGTGTGTGGGTGGGTGGGTGTGGGTGGGTGGGTGGGTGTGTGTGTCGGTGGGTGTGTGTGTGTGTGTGGGTAAGTGTGTGTGTGGGTGGGTGTGTGTGGGGGGGGGGGTGGGTGGGTGTGTGTGTGTGTGTGTGTGTGTGGGTGTGTGTGTGTGTGTGGGTCGGTGGGTGTATGTGGGTGTGTGTGTGTGTGTGTGTGTGTGTGTGTGTGTGTGGATGTGCGTGCTCACGCCCGCTCCCTTCCACCTGCTCACCCACTCCCCCACTTGCTCCCACTTGCTCCCACTTGCTCCCACTTGCTCCCACTTGCTCCCACTTGCTCCCACTTGCTCCCACTTGCTCCCACTTGCTCCCACTTGCTCCCACTTGCTCCCACTTGCTCCCACTTGCTCCCACTTGCTCCCACTTGCTCCCACTTGCTCCCACTTGCTCCCACTTGCTCCCACTTGCTCCCACTTGCTCCCACTTGCTCCCACTTGCTCCCACTTGCTCCCACTTGCTCCCACTTGCTCCCACTTGCTCCCACTTGCTCCCACTTGCTCCCACTTGCTCCCACTTGCTCCCACTTGCTCCCACTTGCTCCCACTTGCTCCCACTTGCTCCCACTTGCTCCCACTTGCTCCCACTTGCTCCCACTTGCTCCCACTTGCTCCCACTTGCTCCCACTTGCTCCCACTTGCTCCCACTTGCTCCCACTTGCTCCCACTTGCTCCCACTTGCTCCCACTTGCTCCCACTTGCTCCCACTTGCTCCCACTTGCTCCCACTTGCTCCCACTTGCTCCCACTTGCTCCCACTTGCTCCCACTTGCTCCCACTTGCTCCCACTTGCTCCCACTTGCTCCCACTTGCTCCCACTTGCTCCCACTTGCTCCCACTTGCTCCCACTTGCTCCCACTTGCTCCCACTTGCTCCCACTTGCTCCCACTTGCTCCCACTTGCTCCCACTTGCTCCCACTTGCTCCCACTTGCTCCCACTTGCTCCCACTTGCTCCCACTTGCTCCCACTTGCTCCCACTTGCTCCCACTTGCTCCCACTTGCTCCCACTTGCTCCCACTTGCTCCCACTTGCTCCCACTTGCTCCCACTTGCTCCCACTTGCTCCCACTTGCTCCCACTTGCTCCCACTTGCTCCCACTTGCTCCCACTTGCTCCCACATGCCCACCCCTTCCCTCAACCAGGTGCGGCGGTGCAGCTGACTCTGCAGCAGCGCATCGACGTTCTAATCGGAGTAGCACAGGCAGTGCAGTACCTGCACCTCTTCCCCCTCGTGCATGCGCACATCCACCCCGCCAACGTGCTCCTCGACTCGTGCATGCGCGCCAAGCTCACAGACTTCGGCCTCATCCGAGACAGACACCCCTCCTCCGCCATCAGTGACAGAGTCAGTGACAGCGGCACGAGGGACGACGGGGTGGGGAATGGTGCCAAAGCTGGTGCTACGAGGGATGGCAGGAGAGGGACTGGCGCAGGGGTTCAGGCGGGGAGGCAAGACGCGGAGAGGAGAGACGGTAGAGGGGCTGGGAAGGTGGAGGAGAGAGGGCACGGGGGCCGAGAACGGCAGGGTAGCAATAAGGACAGTGGTGCCTGCGCTGGTGGTGGTGGCGGCAGCAGCGGCAGCGGCGGCGGCGGCGGCGGCGGCGGCGGTGGTGATGTGTGCAGTGCAGGAGGGGACATGGATACAGCGTCACACGTATCTGGGTACATGGATCCGGAGTTTCTTCACACGCACCAGCTATTGCCTGCCGTTGACGTGTACAGCGTCGGTGTGCTCGCGCTCATGCTGCTCACTGCACGCACTGCCACCACCGCCGCCACGCATCAACACAGCGACAACCACCACCAAGGCGTTCACATTCACGGAACTGGGGACGACAGACGTTTAGACAGACGCGTGAACGGACACGCAGACAGTCACACGGACCTTAAATCCGAACACGCAGACGAGAGAGCCACTCTTATACACTGGGTCGCATCCCTCGTCCCCACCCAAAACCCCGCAACATTCACAGACCCCTACCTTTTATCCCCCTCCTCCTCCACCCCACCTCCCAACCCCCGCTCTCTCCTCCGACTAGCAACTCTCGCGCTCTCCTGCACGGCCCTCCCGTCGTCCTCGCGTCCCTCCGTAAACCGGCTCCTTCTCGAGCTGACGGAGATCAGAGAGGAGCTGTTTGGAGCGGCGAGGAGTGCGACGCTAGAGCGGGTGGATCGGGAGGTGGCAGACATGCAAGGGGGGGACTTTCTCGCGGAGATGGCCCGGGCTGAGTCCCTGGCGTCGGGAGCGAGTGTGAGTGGAGGGATGAGCGGAGGGATGATGAGTGGAGGTGTGAGCGGGGGCACGGGGGCCTCGTGGGCTGTCACGAGTGTTAGTGGAGGGGCGGGGGTGAGTGGCGCGGTGAGTGGGGGGGTGAATGGGGTGAGTCGGTGCGAGAGGTACGGATGGGCAGCAGGAGGTGGTGTGCGGTGAAGTGAGAGAGAGATAGATGTTGGAGCGGCGAGGAGTGAGGCGCTAGAGCGTGTGAACAGGGAGGTGGCGGACATGCAGGGGGAGGAGAGGAGAGGGGGGGGGGGGGGGACTTTCTCGTGGAGATGGCCCGAGCTGAGTCCGTGGCGTCGGGAGCAAGCGTGAGCACAGGGATGAGAGGAGGGAGGAGTGGAGGGACCGGGAATTTCTGGCAAGTTGTTTGAGTCGACTCAAAACACGAGCATGAGCGGAGGGATGAGCGGAGGGACCAGGAATTCCTGGGCCGTGGCGAGTGTGAGTGGAGGGGTGCCGGTGAGTGGAGGGGTGCCGGTGAGTGGAGGGGGGTGGTGAGTTCAGGGTGGAGTGGGGGAATGAGTGGGGGGGTCGAGTCAGGAGATAGGTGCTGCGACTGGGCAGCAGGAGGGTGGTGGCGTGTTGTTGAGAGAGGGAGAGATTGGTGTGCAGCAGCGGCGGATAGGTGGCAGGTAGTGCGTAGAGGGGGATTGTGGAAGTACAGCAGTTGAGTTGAGGCCTAACCATGGGTTGGTCTGGTTTGGATTGGTGGGCGGGGTGGAAAGAAGGGATGCGATTGAGGTGGATGGATGGAAGGGAAAGGAAGATGAGAGGAAGATGAGAGGAGGATGAGAGGAGGATGAGAGGAGTTTGAGAGGAGGATGAGAGGAGGATGAGAGGAGTTTGAGAGGAGGATGAGAGGAGGATGTGAGGAGGATGAGTGGAAGGGGATGGTGCTGCTCAACAGGGGAATAAGGCATCCATCAGGTGGCTCTTGTGGCATCAGTAGCTGGTAGTATCGAGGTTTTACTGGTACTTATATATTTTTGTAAGCATGTTCAGTTTATATACTGCTTTTGGTGGCTCTAGCCTTCCAGAAGCTAGGACTGAAATAGGTATTGATTCTCAGCACAAAGCGTACCTGGTAGTTCATACGGGTCTATCACCAAATAGTGAGCAGAGCCAGAGAGGTATTGCTGCTATTGTTCAGCAGCACCCAATTTCCTTGCTGGCTGCAGTTGAGAAGGGAGAATTTCCCACCAACATGTTGGCACTCTGACACGCAACACGTGCGTGTACTATGGTAATGCATGTAGTGCCTAAACAACTGCGGAAAGGCACATTTCAGCCAGCTCTTGATTTATGAGGCGCCTAGAAATTGAGGCATGTACCGTGGCTGGGCTGATTTTAGTCAAACCGACTCAAGAAGCACATATGGTAGTTGTTGGCTGCTGGTTACTGGCAGCAGGAGGAGCCGGTGCATAGTACACAGCAACGAGGAGACGCAGTGGTTGCTGTTGTTGCAGCAGCAGCATCCGTTCCGCATAGAACCGCAGAGCTTTGAAGCACAGCTCAATTGCAGGGAGTTCTGTTCGCGATAAAGAAGCCATGCTTGTGATGCACACACCACAGCATCACACCTTCCGGTACCGCACGAAGGAAGGACAAGCTCACGAACGCTACCTACTGCATCCCCTCCCATTGACAAGTATAGGCTACTAAGCCGCATGCTTTCCCAATCCTCAACTACCACCACGCAGCACCAATTGCATCATCATCCTCCTCATCAACATCCCCCCCCCACCAGCCTAAATCGTCGTCATCCCTGTCCTTGTCACTGTCAACAGCGTACTCATGGATGATCTCCTCATCCTCACCACCACTCTCCTCTTCCTCCAATGGCTCCTCATCCGCCTTTTCCCTTTCCAACGCCGCATACATTCCCTCCTCCCCCTCTTCCTCTTCCGCACCCTCCTCTTCCTCCTCTTCCTCCTCTTCCTCCCCCTCCCCCTCCTCGCCCTCCTCGCCCTCCACCTCCGATTCCTCCTCCTCCTCCTCCTCCTCCTCCTCCTCCTCCTCCTCCTCCTCCTCCTCCTCCTCCTCCTCCTCCTCCTCCTCCTCCTCCTCCTCCTCCTCCTCCTCCTCTTCCTCCTCTTCCTCCTCGCAGGAACCCCTCTCGTGTCTCGCCGTGGGAGCAAAGGGCACCCACTCACATCGCATTCTCGCAGCCTCCGCATTCCCCACAGAGACGGCGGCACTTGAGCCAGCTTCTTGCACGCACACACCCGCAACTCCTCTAGCTTAGGCAGTTGAGTGAACGAATCCGGCAAGCTTTCCAACTGCTTCAGTCCCAGGATCAGTAGCTTCTGGAGGGAAGACAGTTTCCAGATATCATCTGGAATGGCTGAGATCCCGAGCATGATAAGCTTGCAGGATTGTAGGCTTGACAGATCCGCAAACGCCGCTGGAAGCTGCATCAGCTTGTAGCAATCGATGATATCCAGTGTCTCGAGCATTTTCAGCTGCCCGAGAGATTCGGGCAGCTGCTGCATTGTGACGAGGCGGACCAGCTGCAGGACACGCAGACCCGAGAGCCCTCCGAGGGTGTCGGGGAGTGCTTTCATACGCGTGGCCCGATCAACCCGGAGGCGTTGCAGATGGGAGAGGCGAGAGATGGAGTCAGGGAGAGAGCCAAGTTTGTACATCTTCAAGAGCTTGAGTTGCGTCAGAGAGGACAGACGACCAAGGGATGGACCAAAGGCCGCCACATCAAGGTCTTTTAGCTTGAGGCTCTGCATGGAAGGAAGCAACGCGCTGCTGCTGCTGCTGGCGCTGCTGCTGCCTCTGATGCTGCCGCTGGTGCTGGTGCTGGATGAAACTCCCATGGCAGCACGATTAACCATCTTCTCATCGCCCAGCACCGCACTTAACCCACCACATCTCCGCACCTCCAACGACCGCAGACGGGGCAGCTCAAGGAGAGACGGAGGAAGAGACTTCAGGCCGTTCATCCCAAAGATCTTGATTTCCTCAAGCGCCTCCAGCCGTCCGATTCCCTCTGGCAGGATAATTACTTTAGGGCAATTCCCCACTACCAGGCTGGTAAGGGAAAATACGCCAAAGAAGGAAGCAGGAAGGAAGGATAGGAGTGGCATACTATGCAGCGACAATTGCCTGAGGCTTTTCAAGCTGCCAAAACCGTCCAGCAGAGCACCCTTGAAGCGCCTCGCACGTAGAATCTTGAGGGTTTCGAGAGACGTCAGGCCGGAGAAGGAAGGGGGGAGGTGGGTGAGGGCCGTGCAGTCCAATAGAAGCAGATGGCGCAAGGAACGCAGTCCCTTTCCCATGTCATCTGGCAGTGTCGCGAGGTCCGGACAAACGTTAATCTCCAGGTTCTCGAGAGAAGAGAGCTGTGACAGGGAGTCCGGGAGCCGCTGCAGGTTCCTACACTCGAGAAGTTTCAGCTCCCGGAGGGATTTCAACTGCCCGAAGGATTCAGGCAGGTGCGAGAGCTGATCAAGGCACTTGAAGCACAGCTTCTCCAAAGAAACAAGCTGGCCGAACTCACGGGGCAGCTGTGTCAGATGAAAAAGCAGATTCATGGATAGCTCTCGAAGCGTGGTGACCAGGGCGATGGAGTCTGGTAGGGCGGTGAGATCCCTAAGGTCCAGCACGAGTGTCCGAAGCTCGGACAACTGCCCGAAATCGTCGGGCAGCACTTCGAGTTGTGGTATGTTAAGAGTGAGATCGGTGAGGGCAGGAAGTCGGGGAAGAGACTCGGGCAGAGACGTGATATCACTACAGTCTTTAATAGTAAGAGTCTTCACTCGCTGCAAATTCTCAAAAGCCGCAATAAAGTCGCGCATTCCCGTCACCCCAACCAAAATGAGGGTTTCAAGTGCCTGTAATCGGCCGAAATTGAGCGGCGACATATGAAGCAAGGTGCACTGCCGAACCTCAAGGATAGCGAGAGAAGAAAGCTTGGAGAAGGAGGCCGGCAGCTGCAACGTCTCGCAGTGTATCAAGGAGAGACGGCTCAGAGCGGCAAGCTGCCCGAAAGATTCTGGAAGTGACGTCAAGCGGCAGTATTGCAGCTCCAGCGACGTTAGGGAAACCAGATTGCCAAAATTTTGAGGCAAAGCTTCGAGCCTGTAGGTGTTCAGCACGAGGCTTTTGAGCAGTTGTAGCGAGGTGAGAGTGTCGGGAAGACGCGTATAGCTAGCCTCGACGGTTAAGTGCTTGAGACGTGTGAGACGGTCGATCGACGGGGGAATGGCAGCATTCTCGGAACAAGACACGTAGAGATCTTCCAGACGCGTACACCTCTTGAACAGAGCAACGAGGCCTTTCTCTGTTACGCCTTCGTGAATAGATCCAAGCGGCATTGGTTCAACACGAAGCTCGGTCAAACGAGGACACATGTCAGCAAGGCGAGAGAATACAAAAGTAGAGGCGGAGGTGATGCTGCCAGAGGGAAGAATGAGCCTTTCGAGGTTAAAATACGGCGATAGGACTTGAACGAGGCGACGCGGATCCAGAAAGAGGTTATTGGGCAAGTGAAGCTCATGCTGCAAGTCGTAGGCGATGCGACGCCATTGCTTGCTAACAAGTGCGTGTTCCGGCAGGCCGTCAGGTCGAACGAGAAAACGAAGGATACGAGAGAGCAGTTCTTTAGGCAGCCACTGGATCGGCGATCTGACTGACATTGTGAAAGCAGAAAAAATGTAGAGATTGATGAATGGCTGTTCGCGCTGGTATTGTTTAGGTGAGCTGGCTCTGAATTGTCACCGAGCAACTAATTTGTCGAACTGAAAGAGAATCCACCGTAGTTCTCTTGGGCTTGTCATCAAATCCATCCCCTCAACAAGAAGCCTTGGTCTAGTCAGAAGCACCGTACTCAACCGGTCAGTTTGCTTGAAGCATTCCCGCCAAAATTCCTCCCACGTAACACCATGTTTGCGAAAACGACGGCGACAGAAGGCGCACAATGACGAACATGTGAGGTTCACTCACCGTGCCTAGCGACCCCCAAATGCGTGCGTGTGCGACAGTGGGTGGGTGTGGGTATGCGCACATCGCACCACGAGAAGTGATCGCAGCGTACTCGTTTATGGGTGCGGGTCCACGGTTAGTTCTCAATCTGTAACAATAAAGAACAAAATTGCTGGTTGCTGGTTGCTGGTTGCTGATCGTTGGTTGCTGCAGGTGGTCAGTGGCAGCGAGCCGTGCGCATTGATGAGGAGACGGTCATGATTGAGGTACTGTACAGCATTCATTCCATTCCGCACACAACTGGAGAGCTTCGAAACACAGCTCAAACTAGGGGGTCGTGTTTGTAATGCAAGAATCTGTGTTCCAGGTGCACTAAAAAAAGCACGAAACAAGAATATTTCAGGATGCTTTCGGATACAGGTACTGGTAGGAGAGCCTAAAAGAGAAATCCGGTATGATCCTACCCTCATAATGAGCACTACTAGATTCACCCACACTGCACCACCTCCGCATTGACAAAGACACCTAATCTTTACAAGATATTTCACTATCCTCACGCCCAGCACGCTGCAGTGCTGCACAAATTTCGCCATCTTCCTAGACCCCTAGTCATCATCACACCCCCCCTCCCTCGCCTCAACTGTCATCCCAGTCATTGTCACTGTCCAAGGAATACTCATGCTCAAAGTCCTCATCATCACTACCACTCTCCTCTTCCTCCGATCCGTCCCAGCCCACCTCTTCCCATTCCACCGCCGCATAGCCTCCCCCGTCCCACTCTTCCTCTTCCGCATAACCTCCTTCCCCCTCCTCCCAATCCGCATAACCTCCCTCCTCCCCCTCCTCCTCCCCCTCCACTTCCTCCTCATCCTCTCTCCTTGCAGGAACCCCTTGCATGTCTCGCTGTAAGAGGAATGGGCAATCACTAATGTGTAACTCACGCAACGTTGGCATTTTCCGGAGAGAGGGCGGCACTCGAGTCAGCTTCTTGCACGCACTGACCCGCAACTCCTCAAGCCTAGGCAGGCGAGCAATCGAATCAGGCAACCTTCTCAACTGTTTCAGTCCCCAGATCAGCAGCTTCTGGAGGGAAGACAACAACCAGATGTCATCTGGAATTGCTGAGATCCCAATCTTGATAAGAGTGCAGGATCGTAGGTTTGATAGCCTCGAGAACGACCACGGAAGCTGCATCAGGTTGAAGCAATCAACAATATCCAGCGTTTCAAGCATCTTCAGCTGCCCCAGTGACGCAGGCAGGTGCTGCATTGTGCTAAGACGAACCAGCTGCAAGACACGCAGCCCTGAGAGCCTTCCAAGGGACTCGGGCAGATTGTTCAGACGTACGGCTGATTCAACCCCGAGCCTTTGCAGATGAGAGAGGTGAGAGATGGAATCAGGGAGAGAATTGAGTCTGTGCATCTCCAGAAGCTTCAGTTGCGTTAGAGAGGAGAGAAGACCAAGGGACGGACCAAAGGACTCGACATTCGATTCTTTTATCTTGAGGTTCTGAATGGATGGAAGCAACGTGCTGCTGCCACTGCTGCTGCTGCTGCTGCCGCTGGATAAACCTCCCCTGGCAGTACGATTAACCATCTTCTCATCACCCAGCACCGCACTTAACCCACCACATCCTCGCACCTCCAACGTCCGCAGACGGGGCAGCTCAAGGAGCGAGGGAGGAAGGAATTCCAGGCCGTTCATATTGAAGATCCTGAGCTCCTCAAGCGCCTCCAGCCGTCCGAATCCCTCTGGCAAGATTGTTACTTTCGGGCAATTCCCCACTTCCAGGCTGGTGAGGGAGAAAACGCCAGAGAAGGAAGCAGGAAGGGCGGACAGGAGAGGCAAACTACGAAGCGAAAACTCCTTGAGGCTTTTCAGACAGCCAAAACCGTCCATCAGAGTGGCTTCGAAGCGTTTCGCATGTAGAATCTTGAAGGTTTCGAGAGAGGTCAGGCTGGAGAAGGATGGAGGGAGGTGAGTGAGAGCAGTGCAGTCCAATAAAAGCAGTTGGCGCAAGGAACGCAGTCCCTTCCCCATGTCATCCGGCAGTGCGGTGAGTTCCGGACAAATGTTAATCTCCAGGTTCTCGAGCGAAGAGAGCTGCGACAGGGAGTCCGGGAGCTTTTGCAGCTTTTGACACTCTAGAAATTTCAGCTCCCGGAGGGCTGTCAACTGCCCGAAGGTTTCAGGCAGGTGTGTGAGCCGTTGAAGGTCGTTCAGGCACAGCTTCTCCAAAGAAACAAGCTGGCCGAACTCCTGGGGCAGATGTGTCAGTTTTCGAGGGTGGTTGAGGGAAAGCTCTTGAAGCGTAGTAACCAGGGCGATGGAGTCAGGTAAGGCTGTGAGATGCCTGAGTTTCACCACGAGTGTCCGAAGCTGTGACAACTGCCCGAAATCTTCGGGCAGCGCGGAGAGCTGTGCCATGTCAAGAGAGAGATTGGTGAGTGCAGTCAGTCGGGGAAGAGACGCGGGCAGAGACGCGATATCACTGTAGTGCTTGATACTTAGAGTCTTCACTCGATGCAAATGCTCGAGAGCCGCGATAAGATCGTGCAGCCCCGTCGATTCTACCAAAATAAGGGTTTCAAGCGCCTGTAGTCGACTGAAATTGACCGGCTGCGGCGGAGGAGCCATCCTGCATTGCCGAACCTCGAGGACAGCGAGAGAAGAAAGCTTGGAGAAGGAGACCGGCAGCTGCAACGTTGCGCAGTGATTCAAGGAAAGGCGGTTCAGAGCGGTAAGTTCGCCGAAAGATTCCGGAAGTGACGTCAAGCGGCATTTGTGCAGCTCCAGCGACGTTAAGGAAAGCAGATTGCCGAAATCCGGAGGCAAAGCTTCAAGCCTAGAAGCGTTCAGCACGAGTCTTTTGAGGGATTGCAGAGAGGTGAGAGTGTCGGGAAGACGCGTAACGCGTGTTCTGAGGGTTAAGTTCCTGAGCCGTGTGAGTCGGTCAATGGACGGGGGAATGGCAGCGTTGTCGGAACAATACACATTAAGATCTTCCAGCAGCGTACACCCGTCGAACAGAGCAACAAGGCTCTTCTCAGTCACGCCGCTGTACCCAGATCCACGTGGCATCTGTTCAACATGAAGCTCGGTCAATTGAGGAGACACGTCAGCGAGGCGAGAGAATAAAAAGCTAGAGGCGGAGGTGATGCTGCCAGAGGGAAGAATGAGCCTTTCGAGGTTAATAAACGGCGACAAAATCTGAACGAGGCGACGCGGATCAAGGTACAGGCTATCGGGCAAGTGAAGCTCATGTTGCAAGTGGTAGGCGATGTGACGCCATCGTTTGCTAACACGTGCGTGTTCTGGCAGGCCATCAGGTCGAACGAGAAAACGAAGGATACGAGAGAGCAGCTCCTCAGGCAGCCGCTGGATCGGCGATCCGACTGGCATTGTGCAAGGAGGATAATTGAAGAGATTGATCAATGGTTGTTCGCCCTGCTACTATTTAGGTGACCTGGCTCCTAATCGTCAACAAGGAACTACTTTGTCAGACTGAGAATTCATCGGTATGGCGGGAATGATTCTAGCAACATTGTCGGACGAACCGCACTCAACCGCTCAGTTTTCTCGGACCATTCCCGCCATATTTTCCTCCCACGTAACACCATATATGCAAAATCGAAGGCGACGCAAGGCGCACTATGAAGACCTTCTATGTGGACTTTTGCGAGGTTCGCTCGTCGTGCCTTCGCGATACCCAAATGCGTGTGCGATGGTGAGCGGATGCGGGTGTATGAACCCCCCCCAACCACGACAACTAATGGCAGCGTACCCGTTTGTGGGTGCGAATCTACTGTCGGTTCAGTGTTATTTTTTTGTGCCAACTAGAGAATTGAATTCGCATGGATTTCATTATGCCTCTATGGGTTCATGCAAATGCGTCAATTCTTACAAGAGATTAGTGTGCATGTTTTCTCTCCTCCCCCCACTTAAACACCCCCCTCCCCTTACAGGTTCATTCTCAAGAAGTTTATAGGGTGCCACTCTCCTGCGATATGCCATGTCCACTCCACCATTTTCCTCGTGAGACATGCACTTGGACTGTGTACCACCAACCAGCCACCACTGCATTACAGTGAACGCTCTCTTTCATCTGCCTCTCCTGTAATATTCTGCTACCGTCCCAACAGCCTCCCTCCCTTGCTCTTTCGCTTAGTAACTGCCGCAACCTCACATAGCAACGAGGCTCGTCCCCAACCCTGTCACGCCAAGCGACCTGTCGGCCCTATACCAAGCGGTTCAGAACGCCACTGCATTCCTATGCCCGTTGATTGGCGACAAGAATACACCGTGCTGTCACAGGCATTGACTCGAGCTTGTGGGGTCACCAGGAGTTACGTGCTTGCTAGTGCTGGCTGGCCCATGCATGCGTTCTTGTCAGTTGCTGGCCGGTCGGGTCACTAGCCAGTCACTAGCCAGTCACTGGCTGGTCGCTGGCCGGTCGCTGGCTGTATGCTGCTTGAATGCTGGTTGCTGCACGCAGTGGGGCACGCGGAGCAATAGCTTTGCAGCACTGCACCTGCCTCCCTGCAGAGTCGAGCCAAGAGTCAAGAATCATCTGGTCGTTGCTTGCTGGTTGCTGCTTGCTGCTTGCAGCAGGCAGTGGTGAACGCTGAAGAAGAGGCATGCGTGGGTGCTGTAGGCTGCATCCGCTTCGCATGCTGCCAGATGGAAGCTACAGGGTGAACGGCATTGAGGAAAAAGGGGAAGAAAGGGACGAGGAGGGGGGCAAAAAAAAAAAAAAAAAGAGAGCAACAGATGCGAGAGAAGTAGTTAGGTCGCAGTAGTCACAAGAGCTGTAAGGAATGGAGTACGGGGAACAGAATTATGGAGTCATGTGGTTTCATACTAGCAGTACAGTTGGGCATGAGGGAGGAGGGGAGGGCTAGAGTGCATGGCATGGAAGATGTGCAAGAGATGGGAAAAAAGTAAGGAAGAGGTAATGTGATGTGGCAAAGTTGAAGGAACAGAAGATAGTGGTGCACTCACTTGCTTACCACCAACTCTTGCCACTAACTCGCCCACTCACTCACTTTCTCACTCAGTCACTCACTCACTCACTCACTCCACTCACTCACTCCACTTAAGCAGCACTCACCCAAGCAGCAGAAGGTCCGAGAGCAGCGAGGAGAAGGCACGGGTATACCGGGTCAAAGGATCATCGAGAGCGATGAGAGGAGACAGAGAAGCGGAACCAGGAGAGGGAGGAGGAGGGAAGGTGGTGTTGTAGGCAGTTGCCTGATCCCGTGGGGGTGGAACGGAGACCACGAGCTGGCACACCGGCAGAGCAACCTGTGCCAGAACAGGGAGGTGCAAGGGGGGAGGAACGGTGACGTTGCTTACGTTGCTGTATCACATGTTATATACTCAATGAAGGACCATTCGAAGGAAGGGGAGAGGGATGATTGGGGAGGGAGAAGGGTGGAGGGTGGAGAGGAGAGGGAGAAGCGGGGAGGGGGAGGACAGAGGAGGGAGGGGGAGGAAGGTGGCAGGATGGAGGTGAGAAGGGGGTGGAGAAGAGAGTTGGTGGGTGGTGGAGAACGGTGATGGGAGGTGGGTGCTGATTGGAAGAAAGCTGTGTGATTGCAAGATGTGATGTGACAGAAGGAAGGCAGAAGCACAGGCCACCTCACCTTGTCCCTGCTCCATGCTCTGGCTGTCCTCACAACCCGATCGACTTCTGGCATCTGAAGGAAAATGGTATTGGCAAGCAAAGAGGTGACTTTTGAGTCTGCTCAAGAGTCTGCTCTGGCTGTCCTCACAACCCGATCGACTTCTGGCATCTGAAGGAAAATGGTATTGGCAAGCAAAGAGGTGACTTTTGAGTCTGCTCTAGAGTCTGCTCTGGCTGTCCTCACAACCCGATCGACTTCTGGCATCTGAAGGAAAATGGTATTGGCAAGCAAAGAGGTGACTTTTGAGTCTGCTCAAGAGTCTGCTCTGGCTGTCCTCACAACCCGATCGACTTCTGGCATCTGAAGGAAAATGGTATTGGCAAGCAAAGAGGTGACTTTTGAGTCTGCTCAAGAGTCTGCTCTGGCTGTCCTCACAACCCAATTGACTTCCGGCAACTGAAAGGGCACGAGATAGGCAAGCATGCACGCATGCAAGCAAGCAAAGAAAGCAGAGAATCAGAATGGGGCAGAGGGCAGGAGAACCAAAATGTCACGAAAGACATTGACTTGCCAAAAAAATGACTCGAAGAGACTCGCAAACTGACTCACAGAGACTCTCACGAATGCAAGTCACGATCGGAGTGGACGCCAGTCATTGGCAGTGAAACGGGGACAATAAGGGGACAAAGGAGGGGCGACAAGCAAGACGAAGAGAGACAGTGGCATTGCGAGGAAGAGGGTGCAAGGAGAGGTAGGGCGAGCAAAGAGAGTGTAAGGCGAGCAAAGGGAGGTAGGGCGAGCAAAGGGAGGTAGGGCGAGCAAAGGGAGGTAGGATGAGATAAGAGAGGTAGGATGAGATAAGAGAGGTAGGATGAGATAAGAGAGGTAGGATGAGATAAGAGAGGTAGGATGAGATAAGAGAGGTAGGATGAGATAAGAGAGGTAGGATGAGATAAGAGAGGTAAGGCGAGAAGTACCACGAGGACGTCTAGAGGTCCATGAGCGTTGATGTGCTCTGCAATGCGCCGACTGGTGTTCACAACAGCCTGCTCATCTTCCTCACCACCACCATCACCATCACCAACAGCATCAGCATCAGCACTGTCACCACCGCTGCCCCCTGAGGAAACAACCCCACCTTTCTCCCCCTCCACCTCCCCCTCCCCCTCCCCATCCTCATCCTCATCTCCACCCCCCTCGCTCTCCCCCTCCACATCCTCCCCATGGGCCCCAAAAGGCTCCAGCATGCGGCCGTGCCAGTCCATGCAGCGCGGCTGAATGCCTGGCAGCAGCAGGCGCAGCTCCATGGAGAGCAGATCCGTGAGGGAGGGGTGTGCTGTGAGCACCACCACGGTGCTGGCAGGGAGAGAGAGGGTGAGGGGTGGTGGGGGCAAGAGAGGGAGCATGTGATGTCCAAAGCAGGCAACGGCAAGCGCAGCTCCATGGATGAGAAGCAGGTCCGTGATCGAGGGGTCTGCTGTGTGAATCACCACGGTGCTTCCAGTGGGACGGGCGCAGAGGGACAGAGAAAATACGCACAGGGGGGTGAGGCGCAGCAGCCATTGAGAGCAGGTCCGTGAGGGAGGGGTCTGCTGTGAGAATCACGACCTTGCTGGCAGGGAGAGAAGGAGAAAGAGAGAGAGAGAGTGAGGCGTGCCGGGGGAAAGAGAGAGAGGGAGAGCGAGGGGACAGAGAGGGGCAGAGAGGGGCAGAGAGGGGCAGAGAGGGACAGAGAGGGGACTTGAGGAAGCGCAGACTTAAGAGTGGTACAGCGACAAGCCCTGCGGTAAACACTATGCCTGTAGTACCTACCTGGAATAGGCGAGTCGGCTGAAGAAGACAGGGAAGGGCGCCAGGCCTGGGGAGGACGCAAGCGGCACAGACGGCCCCAGGTGTGCCCGCGTGCAGATGACATCTGGGGAAGGCGCTATCCACGCCAGTATGTGGCGCTGTGCTTGCATGGCTCGGAAGAGGGTGAGGCATGCGGTGTAATTCCTGACCTGCTGCTCCACCCTCTCACTCTCCTCCACTGCTGCCCGCCCTGCCACGCGCGCCACCCCTTCTTGCCACCCCTCGTCCTCCTCCTCCTTTCTTCGTTCCTCCTTCTCCCCCTTTTCCTTCTCAAGCTTTTCCTTCTCGCTCTGTTCCTTCCCCTCCCAATCCCCGTCCCCATCCCCCTCCCAGTCCCCATCGTCCCCCAAGGTATCAACAGCTGGACATAGCTCCATTCCCCTACGGAAGAGAGCAAAGGCAGAGCCGTGGTGAAGCGAGGGTGGAGACGGGAGAGTGTTGAAGGCTGCAGCGGCAGCAGGGGAGGAGGCGGGGGCGCAGGGGCGCGTGCAGGGGCGGCAGTAGGCTCCGTTCATGGGGATGGGGGACGCCAGGGAGAAGACGTAGGGCTGGCAGAGGGAGGAGGGGTTGTTGCTTTGCGACGTGCTGTTGGTGCTGTTGGTGCCGTTGGTGCTGTTGGTGTTGCCGCTGCTGCTGCTGATTAGGTTCCCACTACTATTGCTGCTGCCGCCGAGGCTGATGGCGTTGCTGCTGCTGACAATGCTATTGGTGTTTCTGGTGTTTGCGGTGGTGTTGCTGGTGCTGGTGTTGTTGGTGGTGGCGTTGGTGGGTGTGGGCCGGTGGGTGAAGCGGCGAGTGAGAACACAAAAGGAAACATTCAGCTTCAGCACCCTCGTCCCACTCATGCTCAGCTGCTCCTGCCATGCCTGCTCCGATATCACTCCCCTGCATGCGCTCCTCCCACACACATACGCGCAGTCATTCACAAAACGGAGGAAGATGCGAGGAAGATGGGATGGGTGGAAGGTGGCCAAAAGGGTGGAAGGCAGGTGGATGGGAAAGGATTGTTTAAGGATAAGGATAAGGATAAGGATAAGGATAAGGATAAGGAACACGCAACACCTTGAAAACGGCATATTAGAAATCAGCAGGATGAGGTGTAAAAGTGTTGGTGAGGGGCGAGGAGGGTGGAAAATGAAGGTAACGGGAGGTAGGAGTGACAAGGTGTGGGGAAAAGGAGGGAAGGGGAAGGAGAAGGAGAAGGAGAAGGAGAAAGGGTCCAGGAGAATTCGTTGAGGAGGGGGGATAAGAGCGAATGCCAAAAACATGCATAAGAAAGTATCACAGATCTTCCCCTGCTTTTCTTCCTCTCTCTCTCTCCCATTCCCAACCCCTCTCTCCTGTCAATCCCCCCCTTTCCCCTCCCCTGTCCCCTCCCTTGTCCCTCCCCTGCCCCATTCTCTGCCCCCCTCTCCGCCCCTCTCCCCTGCGCCCCCCCCCCAAGCACCACCCCCTCTCACCTGGCGCATCACCTGATCCCCTGCGCATCCAAGGCAGTAACAGCTGCCAGGCGCATAAGCCCCTCCCACGCGCCCCTCCGCGGCCCCATGGCAAACCGGTCGTTCACTCCCCCCCACTCCGACCCCATCGGTACTGCCACCACTGCTGCTGCTGCTGCTGCTGCTGCTGAGGCAGGTGCTGCAGGTGAGACAGGGATGGCAGCAGTAGCAGCAGAAACGGCAGCAGAAGCCGGAGCAGCTCCTGCAGCAGTGGCATTAGCAGCGGAATTAGCAGGAGGAGTTTGGAGTTTGGTGGGAGGGAGGTGGAGAGAGGAGAGAGGAGGAGCGGGGGCGGCCCAGAAAGAGTCAAGGCGTGAGCGGATGATGTAGTCAAAGTGGGGAGGATGATGGGGAGGGGGGACGGCGGAGGAGGAGGAGGAGGAGGAGGAGGAGGAGGAGGAGGAGGAGGAGGAGGAGGAGGAGGAGGAGGAGGAGGAGGAGGAGGAGGGGCGTTCTAGCAGAGAAATGAGGGACGCACAGCTCTCCACAAGCTGGAAGTACTGCAGCAAACCCTGGGAGACAACAGGCATGGGGAAGTCACAGAGAGAGGGGGGGGGGGGGTGGGGATGGGGTGTATTTTCTAGGCACTTCAAGAACTGACACACAGACCTCTCTCCTCCCTTTCCCCTGCTCCCCGCCCTTGTCCCCTCCACTGTTCCCCCTGCCCTTCCGCTCACCTGCGCGCCACTGGGGGAGCCCTCCGCATTGAGCACGCGCGAGGCCTGGGGGGAGACGGGGAGGGGGACGTGGGGGGAGATGCGCAGCAGGGAGACGCGGGAGAAGGCGGGATCTAGGGGGAAAGCGGCTTCTGGGGCCGGGGAGGAAGATTCCACGGAAGTTGCACCACGAGAGACATTCGGAGGCGTTGGAGCGGCGTAGAGAGGTGGTGATGAGGTGGAGAGCGGTGGCGGAGCAGGGGAAGCGAGCGCGAGGGCGAGGAGACGCGCGGAAGTGTGATCGAAGGGGCTGTTGAGAATGACGTGCGTGGACGCCGCGGGGTACGCGGAGAGCAGGTGCTTCTTTATAGAGGGACCCGTTATGTGGAAGTCGCGTGGGGAGCCCACGAGGCAAATGGCGACAGATGGGGATGGGCGGGAAGAGGAGGAGGGGAAGGAAGGGGAGGAGGGTTGGGAGGGGGAGGGGGAGCCTGGAGTGAGTGATCCAGGTGTAATCGATGCAGCCATAAACGCTGACGTGGATGCTGACGTGGATGCTGTCAGAGACGTCGACGGCGACTGGTTCTCGTGCAAGTTCTCCTGAATACCAGCCATCTTCTCCCCTTTCCTCATAGACTCCCCGCCATGTCCGCGCATAAGCGCTTGAGTCGACTCATAACTAGGATCGTCACCATTCTCCTCGCTGCCAGCCAACGCTCCCCTTTCTTCTTCCAACGAATTCTTCCTATGGCGGTGCGCTAGCTTTCGCGACCCTATTAGCCCTTTCGGCAAGCCGATCCGCGGCAGCCGCATCGGAAGCAGCAGCAGCGAGCCCGCTAAAGCCATCCCCGATACTGTCAGCATCATTACAAGCAAAACGGTCTCCGCGCGGCAAACGCGCCGACGCTTCCGAGGTCGACGCTGGTGCCTGCTGCTGCCTTCGCTGCCGCCGCCGTGCTTGCCGTCAGCAGCGGCGCTGACATTGCTTCGCGAGGTAGGGCTAGGGGAGAATCGGAGGCCGCTAGGGGTTATTGATGGGTCCATAGGTCGATTGCGAGCCGCGAGTCTGGCTTCGATAGGCGAGGACGACGAGCTATGCTTGGCACCCTTAGTTTGGGTTCAGTCTGGTGACGAGTCGTTCTTGAATTCTTTTGGCCGCGTGATAAGGGCGTGTGGACTTGGGCGCAATTGTAAAGTTCGGGCTTTTTCATTCAAATGAATATTGGTAGAACTGGTATAGATTATCGTGATGAACGTGCAGAAGTTGGTGTAACCTAAAATATTTTCTTGATGAACATGCAGAGGGGTGCTAAAAGACTTCCTCGGAGCATGATAAATGGAAAAGCAAAACAATTCAAGGATAAGTGCAACGTCAATTCTCTAGCATAAACTAAAGCATAGCTCTTCTACCATTGGTGGTGAGGATCTAATATCCATCACAAAGAATCATTAGCCTCTACACCTAACCTAACCTGCTCAGTCCAGCAAGACACCAAGGAGTCTCTTTCTAATTACCACCATCACTGCTCCCCGCCGAGCCATACACCTGGCGATACACCTGCCTGTTGTATGCATCCCTCTCCTTCTTCCTCCTCTCCTCAGCCGCCTTGAGCCGCTTCTTCAGCTCCAATGGAGCCACCAGCTCAGCCACACCCTGCCCCACACCCTCCCAGTAAGTGGTGCCCTGGTCCGCATAGTACTTGCCACTTGCCTGATTCATATCCCGAGCCCAAGAGGAGTGGTCACCGCTAGAGCCAGTGCTTGATGAGGTTTGGCTGTCCGTCCAGAAAGAGCACGAGAAATCGACCTTCACCCACCCACTGCAAACGGAATCACGACAACAGAGCACAACGCATCAATGGTAAGCCCAATGTCCCGACAGCAGCAAGATCACGCAAGCGTCCCGAGAGCGTTGCTGCTTGAAAGCAGAGGTACGATGGAATAGAGAAGGCAGCGCAACATACACGTTGGAGCCGTGGAACCCAATGCCCTGGTTGCCCGTGCTGTACGCCCAGGTGATATAGTTCAGCCCGGATGGCTTGAGCGGAATGCGGCCCTGTCCTGCCGTCAGGGTGAACCTGCGCAGAGAGATAAGCAGAGATAAGCGGAGAAAAACATACACCCCAAGTCAGTCTTTCAGCTCAGCCCGCTCACGTCTCCCTTGGGATCGAAAACGAGAGAAGTGAAGATGTTAGAGCGAAATAGGCGGAGAGTGCTCACTGCGCGATGAGCGACCCCGCAGCAGAGCGAGAGAGAGACGGCACGCCGAGCGAAATGTCGGTGGTAGGCACCACGTTCTTGGGCTTGTAGCCGTTGATGTAGTACGCCGCCAGCGATGAGCCGCTCTTGATCACCGAGTAGCTCGGCGACATGGACCCGTCGCGCGACCATCCCATGCCGAACCAGCCGTTAGACGCGGCGCTGCCGGCCTTCGCCTCCATAGCCATCTGAATCGCCTGACCCTGCACGGGCTTCCAGTGCAGCACGAAGCTGGAGCCGCGGATCCAAGTTGTGGGGGGAAGGGAGGGGGGGGAGGGGAGGGGGGGAGAGGGTGGAGAGGATGGGGTGGAGGGTGGGGAAGGGGAGAGGTGAGGGGAGGGTGGGAGGGGAATCTCCATAAACGCAATTTGGTGGGAAAAGCTCAAGGGAAACGGGTTGAGCTAGAGCCCAACGTGACCCGTTAAAAGAGGGAGGAACAAATACTCGCTTCCAATTATGCCCCGAACACCCCCGGAGCACCAGGTCGCACCTGCCGCCGTCGAGATTAGCGGAGTAGGCATATCCGGCAAGGCTGGACTTGGGACAGTAGCTGATAGCGGGCACGGCGGGCGAGGCAGGAACATTGGTAGTGGCCATTCCACTATTGCTGCCCGGAATGGGGTTCATTGGATTTTCCACCGCGGGTGCGCCTCCCACGCAGCCGAAGTTGACCACGACCGAGCCCCTGGGATGTAAAGACGTACGATGGTTGTAGAGAGAGAAATGCGACGGGGAAGATATGAGACGTTGGGTACGTATGTCCGACTGGCGCTGGACAAATGGGTGCGTTGGACGGTCTGATCGTTGTGAGAAGGATAAAAGCACGGATGAGAGCGCGGATAAGTGCAGGAAAACCTTGGTCGCAGCAGATGTAGAACGTTTCCACAAAAGCAGCGGAAACTTACGATCTACGGTTCTGGTAGTTGATCTCCTTGTCGCCGTTGACATCGTAAGCCCAGATGATGTTGTTCTGCCCACGGATCTTCACGGGCACAGCCCCGTCGCTGTTACTCCGCGTGAAGCGGATGACAGCGCGCAGGCGCGAGCGCTCCAAAGCCGCATCCCCGATAGAGAACGTGTTCGTCAGCATAACCTGGCCGTCGGGTGAGATTGTGTACGTCGCCACGGGAGCCGTGCTGGTTTGCCCAATCACCGCGTCGGCGGTGTCCGCGTCGCCACCTTGCGTGAAGCCTACTGCGATCCAGCCCTTGGCGGCGCCGCTTCCCACGCGCGCCTCGACGGCGAGCTCGATCTTGTTGCCGACGGCGGGCTTCCAGTGAAGGCGGAGTCTGCATGGTGAAGGGAGAAGGGGAACGGGGGGAGAGGGAGGGGGTGGGGAGGGGGTGGGGGGGAGGGAAACAAGGGAGGGGGAGAACATCCAAAAGCGCGCCGTGAAAAAACACACCAAGGGAATATCGGAGCCATGGAGAATCATGTGGTGCCGAAATCAGGGGGTCGATGGAAAGGAAGGCAGGAGAATTGTGAGCGTCGCCGCGCGCCCGGGTTGATGAGATTTCAACCATGCGCACCCTCTTTTGAGGATCTTGGACGATGTGAACCCATCGAGCTGCGAAGGCAAGCATTTTACAGCTTGCATGGATCGCCTCTTTGCTCCTCTCATGCCACCGCCGATCCGTGCCGAGGGCCTGCCATCCGCCCGTGCTTCAAGAGCAATCGAGGTGATTGCCAGTAGAAGGACTAACGTGCGCTTGTACAGTCGCCGATCGCTGCTGGTGCCCATGCCGGAAAGCAGAAATGTGAGAGCTTCAAAACGGAGTAGGCGTGGAGGGATGTCGGTGGAGGGGGTCTGCTTCGGAGAGCGTGCTTAGTGTTCGCTGATTCTGAGGGCCGAGGGAATTTGCTGTGCTTGAATGATGAGATCAGTTGGAGCCCGTGCATTTTTATTGTGTTGTACAGTAGCGGTGACGGATTTTCCAAATCGACCTGGATGCTCGCCAGAGTTTGGAACGTGGAAGGCCGAACCGCGATGATCCGTACCTGCGATAGGGCACCTTCGCGGCTCGTTTTGCCCCTTCTTGCCGCGTGTAGGACCGTCGGATGGAAAGATGGAGTCAAAGCGGCTCGGCAACGAGCCGCCAAAGACACTTCGCCATAAGGCTAGCGCCCTATGTTTGCCTATAACGAAAAATGCATCACAGGCCAATCAAGGTGCAAATCTAGCCCCCCTATTGGCGTGTCGCGGTGAATGACATGCAATCTGGACACGGACTGTGTTCCAAAGGCTGTTGCGCGTCCTGCGCTCTTAGCTAAGAACCACATTTTCAAGACCCACTTGTGTCCATAGCGGGAGGCAAATTTACGTGCACTGGCAAATCTCAGTACAGTGTTACAGCACTATTCATCCACCTGAGCAAATCGCGATTCAACTCACCCTCCCACGCACGTTCGCCAACATCGCCGTTCGGCGCGTGGACACCTACCACCAATCTTGCCCGGTACACTGTGGTAGAATTAAACATCTGGCTGTAGAAAAACAAAGCAGAAGCTTGTTGATTGAGGATAATCAAGATGATTCAGCTTGGGAATCTAGGAGCAGATTGAAGGAGACACATAAACACATTGAAGCGTTTACATGGCCAAGACAACACGAGTATAGTACATGATACTGGTACGCATGGCAAGCAGTCAATTGCAAATAAGACAACATACTACCTACTTGCCAAACCCTTGACACTGACTCCACATCAAAATCTTATTTTACCAAATATAATTCAACAGGCCTAGAGGTTTGCAACGAACCACTAAGCTGCAACCAAGAGTCTCACAACCTATGAGCTCCAGCCTCAGCTGCTGCTGCTAATGTTACCCATTCGTCCTAAGCAGCCCAGGCAGCTCAGATGGCAATGCAACATTCCCAGCTGTGCCTTCCCATCCTGTCACCTGACGGAACCATCCCGCTACTTCCCATCCGACCCGGCTGCTGCTACCCCCATCTCCACCCCCAGCTCCTGCTGCATCTGTCCGGCCATCCCCCAGGACATCTCCTGATTCATAAAAGCCCAGAGTCTCCAAGCCCGAGTTGCCCGGAACTGCTGAGACATGCCCTTCCTCTAGGGTGCACTCTACAGGTGCATTTGATGCACCAAGAGGAGGGCCTGTGTGGGTATCTGCAACACTATCTTCCGCACACTTTGATCCCGCTCCAGTGGCCCCCAAAGAGAGCTTTTCCTTCTCTCCATCCTTTGCTGGGGTCAGCATGTTCTGCTGTATCTGCTCGTGCAAACGGACAGCCATCTGCTGCCACTCCTCCCACCGCACACGCTGCTCCTGCTGCCGACCCTCCTGCCCCCCCTTCCCCTCTTCCTCTTGTTCCGGTTCACTGCTCGGCTTACCACCTGCCTCTCCAGCACCATTCCCCACCCTAGCCATATCCGTACATTCCCCCCCATCTGCTCCCCCACCGATTGCACGCCCTCGATCCTCTTGGTCTCCAGATCCCGCTGCTGCATCAGCAGCACCTGACCCACCTGTGCCTTCCGCCCCACTTGCACCGCCTGCTACAACCTCAGCTGCTATAGCAGGCCGCGCAGGAGCAGCAGCAGCAACAGCGGAGCGGGTAACAACCGGAGCAACAGCAGAAGCAGAGCTGCTGCGCCTCATGATCCTATCCATCTGGATCGCGCTTGTTGCCAGGAAGTCGCTCACTGCGCTCGTGTTGATCGCGCCCACGCTCGTGTTGATGGCACCTGCTAGGCCCGAGGCCGCAGCCACCAAGTTCTTAGCGGATTTGGAGAGCTGGATGGCCCGCGGAGTGGAGAGGATACTGGAGACGTCTGTAACGGGGACGAACGCCGCGAATGGTGACGTGGAGACGAAAGAGGGTGCTGGCGTAGGCGCAGAGGAGGAAGGGGAGGACGGGGAGGAGGGGAGGCGGAGGAGGTGGAGGAGGTGGAGGAGGTGGAGGAGGTGGAGGAAGAGGAGGAAGAGGAGGGGTGAGGGTGAGAGAATGTACCCCCAGATGATGTATGGCTGCCACACTCATTGGAAACCAGCACACCTCCGTGCCCGTTCCCTGACGTCCTTGCAGGAATCTCACTTTCTGCAGCAGCAGCAGCAGCAGCAGCAGCAGCAGCAGCAGCAGCGGCGGCGGCAGCAGCGGCGGTGGCTGCGGTGGTAATAGTAGTTGCGTTTGAAACATCATCATCGCAACCACGAGCACGAGACGACGAGGTGGAGGAATCGTCAGAGTCGCTACCACGAGCGGACGCACCTCCACCCGCACTGCTCCCACGATCAACCGTGCTGCCACTGCCGCCACTGCCTCCCATGGCTGCTTCCTCCGCCCGTGGCTGATTCGTCGCTTCTTCCCTCTCGTTGCCAGCGTTCCCGTCCGCGTCTGTCTCGTCGTTGTTGCTGTTGCTGTCGCCGTCGCCGTCGCCGTCGCCGCCCTCTTCGTTTTCTTCAGCGCGAAGCGAGCCACGTCCGCCGTAAGACACGGGCAGAGGGCTGCACGGCACGCTCTCGTCGCCGTTACACCCGCCGCAATCCCCGGCCCGGGCGAAATCACCCGTCTCGCCGCCATAGCCGCCGCCGGTGCTGGTGGCGGCGCACACAACGCAGCAGAAGCAGCGGCTACTGCGGTAGCTATCGCCGCTAGCAGCGGTTCCTTCCTCTCCTCCCTCCTCGCTGTCGCTCTCACTGCTCCGCGCGTCATTCCGAATCGCGCAGGAGCAGCGGGAGTTCACGTCACAAGGACGCAGCGAGGGCGATAACGGAGCGAGGAGGACGGGGGGAAGAGAGAGGTGGCGGGAGCCGCGGAAGAGGGGTTCCCCGCGCGGGCTGACGGGGAGGAGCGGAGGCGGAAGGCTGGCGGAGCCGGGGAGAGCGCCAATTGGCGCAGGGGGAGACGAGCGGGCTGATGGCGAGGTGTACGAAGGTGACGTTCGTTTGTAAGCGACAGGGGAAGTGGGTGCAGACGTGGATGCTGACGTGGATGCCGACGTGGATGCTGACGTGGATACCGACGTGGAAGCCGACGTGGATGCGGATGTGCACGCGGATGTGGGAGGCGAGGCACACTTGGGACACGTGCGTTCAGGATAACGGCAGACGGACTCGCCCATGACAGGGGACGAGCGGGGCGAAAGCTGCCATGGCGGAGAGGAAGCATCGCCGCTGTTAGCGGAAGAAATTTCCATTTCAGGGTCGGGGGGAAGGAAGCGGTAGAGGCGCTGTCCTAGAAGAATCATGCTGGGCTTTAGTAGAGGTAATCAGCGCATGCGAAGGACGGAAGAAATCGCAGCAGAGCGTCTAATTGAAAGCTTTTGCTTTCCTGGACGCGAGAGGCGCAGGGTGGATAGGATGCCAGCAGAATGCTAACGCGGTGAGGAACAATTATTTTTTAATATGAGGCCGAGGATGAGGGCGACTGAGCTAATCGAAATTTGGAAACTAACTAGAAATTGGCATACACCTGGTGAAAATGCTTCACCGCTTAGGTCAGCGATTGGCACGGAAATGCACATGAGCTTGCAAGCTGGCGAAAGTAGCAGATGAAACTTGCAAGCACTAAAACTAGCAGACAAGAGGAGAGGAGCATGGCATGGCACCCCTGACACAATTTGAAGAGGTTGCTTGTTGCAAGAAGAGGAAGACACAACAGCTGCACCTTATCCCCTTTCATCACTTTCCCCCATCCCATTCCACCGTTTAAAACCCCACTTCAACGTACTCCATCCCAAACCACCTTCAAGGAAACAGCGCAGGCCTGGCTCAATAATCGAGGTTCGGAAGGAACGATGTACGGCGCCTGTCGGTGGGGTGGGGAAGAATTCCCCCAGTGGCCTGCAGCTTGTCCAGGCAGCAAGACCACGGGAGGATGGATATTTCGCGACGTCAGCGAATTGCGGTTACGACGTTGTAAGGAAAGCGGAAAGCGACAGAGTTTACCTATGCGTAGCGGACAAGCAGCGTCGCCTACGATGGAGCGGGGCCAGGCTGGAACTCGTGGCGGTCGCGTCGCCTCATCCAGAAGAAGTGATAGAAACGGGCGCGAGTGTTGGGCCTCTCGTAGTAGTGTCAACCAGCATCACTGTGGAAAACCATTCAAATTATGGACGGCAGCGATGAAGGGAATGAACCCGTCCTCAATGACTCGATTGGAAAAACCTTCTCTGTGGAGCACTTCTGTATCTTTTGGATAGATCATAGCTATATAAGTTCATTTGAGCTAGAAACTCTTAACGTCTAGAAGTTAGTTTTGACTCCAAAATACGCTCGCTGCTTAGGAAAACAGGTACGATAAAAATTAAGCAGGTATAAAACTTGTTTTTGTTACGATATAGAATGGTTAAACATTCCTAAGTAACGAACTCTTGAAAACGCGAAGATGACTACAGCGAGGACGAAAGACCAAGCGACAAGACAGTTATCGAAGACGGTTGCAAGCAGAAGGAATTCGAAATGAAAAGAGCGGGAAAAGTTCAAACGGTTACCGAACCGCGTACGGTTACCGAGCCGCACAGTTGCGATCCTGCATCTAGATTAGCCCTAAGGGGAATGTACCCCCTCAGAGTACATGGCTAGCTAGGACACTTCGTATTCCATTGTATTCCTATATAAACCCTTGTACCGCATTGTGTTAATCACTTCTGTCAAGAT